CTCCTTAAGGGGAACTAAAAGACGGAGACGTGATGTTAAGGGCTTTATTTTGTCTCATTAACATATATTAATATGAATGGTGTCTTACTCTCTGTGTGTCAGTATACATGTGCATGTTTCTGGTGTGTTTTTGTGGGCCGTGTCAACTGGGCTATGAATACGTATTAACAATGTGTTTGTGTCTGTGGGTGTGTGTTTTCTGTGTTAGCATGCATCTATGTGTGTGTGTGTGTGTGTGTGTGTGTGTGTGTGTGTGTGTGTGTTCTGGTATGTCATGCCTTTTGTCCTTTGTGTTTTTCTCTGCGTAGGGTGTGCTGCCCACCCCAATGCTGTCCCCGTGGCAGGCACAGCACCAGGGCTTGACCCGTACCAGCATGCCCCAGCGCAGACAGAGTGAGTCACTAACATCCTTTGCAACCTCTACTCTATCATTTCATAACACAATATGTCCAGGGGCTTGTAAATAGCCTGAAAAAGTTTAACTTTATCTCCAATTAAAATCCTCCAAATGACACGAAATATCTTTGTTCCAGTTAATAGCATCCTTTTTGTCACTGTGCAATTACAGGACCATTTATGCTGTATGTCTACTTTTAGATTAATTTGTAAGAAGATTAGTACCGTGCAAAATAGTTTTTCTTGTTTGTTTTACTAAACACAGTCTGACATCCTGTCCCTTAACAATTAATTATCAGGTGCTTCTAGCTTCAGTTCCCCTCTATTAGCTTTGTTCAGTAAAAACCAGGCTATTTTATCGACTTTCTAAAACCTGCAGATACCTGTATTTCTAACCCTGACTTAACTCCCCTCTCCGTTCGTAGACATTCATTCAATAATAATATATACACCATATTTGTAGTAGGGATGGTGTCAAGATGATAGAATAATAGCTCATCCAACGTGTTCTTGACGAAATAGTAAACATGACGACAACCTGATCTTTGCTTTGAATATAAAAGTGAATTTTGCTGCATTTTTTCTGTGGACTTCAACAGTTTGACTTCATTGAGAAAGACAGGACTGCAGAAACAATGACAGCACAGTCACAACAACCTCACCTAGCTCAGTGAATTTCAACAACAAAGCTTTTGTATTGTGATGATGAGGTAGCAAGTATGGAAGGAGGGGTAAATAGAATGGCGGCAGGTAAATAGGCTACAGAAAATGTGTGTATGTGAAAGAGTGAAGAGCAAAAAAATAAAAAATAAAGATGGAAACAAAGAGAAGATCCCATGCTTTGTTCCTTTGATCTATCCCAGTGGGGCTCAGCGTTGTACCGTGAGGGAAAGGTGAAAAAAAATGTGATGCAGGTGTATTTTTTTAGTACATCTCTGTACTCTTTCAATATCAAGTGCAGTGTGTGTTTACAGACTTATTTTGACAAATATGTGAGTACAGCCCAGCATTCAGTCAAAGCAAATGGTCTAATTAAGCAAAACAGTATCAAAAGAGTGCCTGTACAGTGCTAGAAAAAACAGTAAGAGGAAATGTCACTGAAACATACTATGGTACAGCTGGCATGCAGTCATATTAAGATATAAGATGAGAAACACCAGATGTGACCACTAATGATCTGACACCCCACTGGGAGCCCTGGCTGACTAACCTGTAAAGTTTTCTTGCTGATAAGAAAGGTCTTCAGAATAAAGTTTTTCACTGAATGTAAGATGCAGTATTTATATTTTGTATTAAATGTGTTTGTTTGTTGAGCTAATCTGTGACCTTTTCTTGCAAGCATTGGCTGGGTGTTAATTCTGCATTTCAAATTAACCCCAACCATGTCTGTCTTACATTATACCCCTTCCTATTCTCTCTCTCACTCCAGCTTCTCTCCCTGTATTTACCCCTTTTTTCTCCTCATCTCTTCTCTGTTGTGTATCACTCATAAAGTGGAAATTGAATCTCCCATATTCTCTCTCTTCTACCTTTACCCCCGACACACATAATGCCTATGACAAGGAGTGGAGCACCTAGTGCAGTACTTCTATGACACAGCGTGGTACAGTAACTCTTTCTTTAACATGTAGTCAACCTCCTGCACGCTTGGGCTGGGGTTTGGCTTCAAGTGACATGACAGAAGCATGCCCTTCTACATCTGAGTTTGCATGTTTTCTGTTGGATTTTCACTTGTTTTGGATTTTTGATCTTGTGTATCTTCACTTGGAACTTTGGTCTGCACTTCTTAATAGAGGATACTGTTTTAGTTATGGTAATTTGTTATCTTTTTCATATTTCATTTACATATTCTTTGTTATGTTTTTTTTATAGTTTTACCTGGTGTTTGTTATTCTCAATTATACATTTTAATTTGTCCCATCCTATCAAATTAAGTGTATAAGAATGTTGTGCATGCATTGGTAAAGCTCTCTGTGTATTTGTTTTTTTAGATTTTGTTCATTGAACATCATTTTATGTGTTCACATTGAAGGATTTGGATGAAGGGTTTTTGAAAGGAATAACATTTAAGCATACCCCCGTGTTATTGGAACGTGAATGCATATTACTGCTGTCCTGAACAATCCCCTCCATTCTAGCTCCCCGGTCAGAAGCAGCACAGCAAGCAAAAGACAAATCTATCTTTAATCACGCATCCTCTGCTCTCGCACCATTTCCACGACTTCAATTCAAACACAGTCCAAATCACCATTTGCACAACCCCCTCACATTAAATGATACTAGGGAATCTAATGTAGCTTTGAAATGGAGTGCCACCATATTGCCACTCTCTCACACAGATAATAAGGGGGACTATTTTCTTCTTTACTTTTCTAATCGCACAGCCATTTTCACGGTGAGAGACGCTGGAAAGGACGTTGGTTCTGGTGGGCCCTGACATCTCGCAGGTGCCTCAAATTGGCTCGTTTTTTGGTTAGACTGGCGTTTTTCTGTGGAAGTGATAGCTATCATTAGTGAGCTGAGATATTTACTTCTTGGCAGTGCAGCGAAGAGCTCAAAATGATTGCTGCTAATTATTAGTACTGTAGCAGACAGCTGTAGATGCAAATAATTATTGACTGTGACCCTGTACTGTAGCTACTGCATGCTGCTATCACTGACAGAGGCTTCTTCCAGCTGGCCAACTATAAATATACATACTCATTACAAGCCTTGCTATTAAAGATATCATACTGTTTATTACTGATAGTCTCATGGCAATGGACATTTCACTTGTTTTGCTTCAGTAACGGTATGTTGAAAATAACATTACATTAATAATGTCTACTTTGTTTACTTTGGTGGCACCTGTAATTTGTGGATTGGAACAAAGCCCTTTATTTAGTTTTGAACTTTGGGAGTCAGCAAAGAGTATTCAGACAAATACTCTCCAAAGCTGAAAAGAGATTTAATAACATGATTTAAGTGGCAGACTAATCAGAGCTATTGTAAAAAGCAACAGAAACACTCTTTATTCAGGAGTTTTTAAATGACAAACCTTGAAATCTACACAAACTGTATTTCCTTGCTTCAAAAACATGCAACACCGAGACAGGTGGACGAGGGTTTTGTAATAGGCTACTGGATGCATTGTGGCAGGGAACCAGGAGATGGAGCTGTGGCCTCGGACAACTACTCCCACTCACTATACAAATGACTGATGGTAGAAACAGGCAGAACCTCTGAGATCATTTAACTTCCAACTCACCATGTTTCTGCTCAGACGGAGCTCATGCTTTTTTTGTAGCTGGAGACGGTTCCAGGTGGATTTAGATTCTTTAGGTCCTGCTCAAAGGGCATTGATGGAAAAAGGCAGCCCTCTGATTTCTCATGGTAAAAAGTAAGGCCATCAGTATTCCTTACGGAATCATTCAAGCAGGCTAACATAAGAAATAATATAAATGGATTTTTATAGATATTGAAGTCATACGGTATTCAGAAAATGTACTCTAGTAGTGTATAAGATATTCATATATATCCCAGTATTGACTTTTGTCTGAACTGAGCAACTCTGCTCTTGCTGGTGGTTGTCTGGACTAGTAAGCACTGTTTGGCTTGTATTCTGCTGCCTATTTGGAAATGTGTTCCAGAATACTTCTTGTAAAAAGTTATTTCATGAAAGTATACATCATCCGGGTATATAGCTGTGCCTAGTGCAAAAGCAAAACTATCTACCTTTTTTTAATTTAAAGTGAAGCTGTGATGCAGAAAGTATTTAGAATCTGCGAATTCTTCAGCCTAAACTCAGTAAAGCAAAGAGTGGAGAGGCGTGCTGAAACAAATGCTAACTCTGTTAAGTCATAATGAGTTTTTGTTGAGTTCGTGCCAGAGAGGTGTTGATTCAACTTTTTTTTGAAGCCGTAGTTTTGTTGTTTAGTCATACTGTATAATAAGCAGCTCTCTAACACAACAAATATTGAACATAATGAGCTTCACTAAAACAGTAATTGTTGTAGGTTTGCATTAGATTTTACAGGTGTTCACGATTTTGTGTTCATACCCCATATGTCCCCTAGTGGAGGACAACACCACGGTTGGTCTAAATTCCATGTGGTTAGCGGCTCAGCATGTTCTTACACTGGCAGCAGGCATCATAGCTCTTGGTTGGTTTGAATGTTTTGAAGCCCCTCTGCATCAGCGATCACAAAATGACTCCAAAGACTTCAGTGGATTCCAAGCACTCACATGGCAAGGTTATTCTCCTCTGCTTGTTTTTAAGTGCTGAATCAGGGCTTCCTGTGTGACTTTGCCTCTCCCATTCTAGGAATAGTTCAGCGACTGGCGGTGGAAATAGGCTGTGATATTAAGGAGTAAATAAACAAGTCAAAGAAAGGCAGAATTTTCAGTTGGCTTTCTGATTTGGAATTTTCCTTTGCAGCCGCAAAATATTCAGAAAGCTTAGAATCTACAGGGATCAAAGAAACTAAAAGAAGGGAAATTTTTAAAACCAGCCATTTCTGGAACATGATAAAAACAACTCCCACCTAATTATAAACAGACAGTTCCATGACTATTTTATACCCATTTTTAAAAAGTAACTGACACATATTTCTTCTTCTCTGCAGCCTCAAATACTACAGCCTTTCAACCCCTGCCTCAGCGAGCACCTCCACCAGGGAAGACTAGTAAAAACTCCCCCCACCGAGGGCCACAGTGACCTCCTCACAAGGCGTGGACTTGAGGACGGAACCCAAATAGATGCAGACCATCCTCTTGAAAACCTTACGGCAGATGTGTCTGGGCCAGCAGACAAGCTGAGTCTTCCCCTCAGCACTCACCTGCACCACCCAGGCTCTGGGGCTCCACAGGGGGTAAATGCCAGAGTCAGACCAGCATCAGCAGCTCAGTCTGCAGCACAGCACGAGTGGAAAGCCCCCGCTGTGATACTGCAGAACTCTATCACTCCTAGAACTGCTGGTTCGACTTGTCCACGCATGCTGCAGCCTCCTCGCCTTCACAAGCGCGTGTCTCTCCCTGCACTCAAGCCAGGGGGCACCGGCGGCTTTGCCTCTCTGAAACCAGGGGGTTCCTTAGGGCCTCTGGCTAACCGGACAAAGCAGCTGCCCCCTCCGACTAGAGGCCTTCCCTGCTTTAATACTGGACCCCAGGTGCAGGCTCGAAGTCTGTGTCGCACTACGCTGCTTCAGCCTCGCAGAGCATCAGAACCTTGCAGGGATCCACGGGGCACCAACTGCAGCCCGGAGGAGCCCAACCAGGGGACGTTCAAAGATCCTGGGTCAGCTAAGATCCTGATCCCTTTGAGCCACTCATACCTCCCCAAGCCAAAGATTCCCTGAGGAGCTTAAACCCAACCATCAAAAGTTAAAACCGGAATCACTCTGACATTGATATTCATCCCCTTCTCTCCCCAGTCATTATATCAGTGTCATTGTTTCACTGTTTGAGTGTCAAAGGAACATACACTAAGCTCATTAACCCACGTGAACCATTCAGGGACTGCCTGTGTCGTTGACATTGGTATTGTAACTGCTGTACTGTTTCTAAATTAGCATCTGCAGCTCCAGCCTGACTGATTGACTGGCTAAGGATCTTATGTTCAAAACAAACCGTAGCGGTTAGAGATGTTCCGATACCAGTTTTTCCTTCCCGATACAGATTCTGATACAGATCTGATCTTTAAAAAATACTGATCCGATACAAGTGTGTTAAAAACATATAAATATTATTATTATTATTTAACAGCTGTATACTACTAACCATGTATGATTGCTACCATTGTTGTATGTTCTGGGTCAGGTTAAAACCTTTGTTAGACATGAACAAATACATATAGAAAATGAATCCCAAAGAACTTTATTTTATTTTATATCCAGTTTGACACTGTAGCTAGCTCTGGCTAACATTACACTACTGGAAATCAACTCTTCTCCAGTAGTAGCCATGTTGGTTTGGATTGGTTAGATTGGTTAGGGTGAGAATATGACAATGACTTCACCATCCTGGGAAAAAAAGGCAAAAGGACACTGTTGGAAAGTAGTCCTGTTTCAGGGGGCTGATAAATAACATGGTATCAGATCGGTGCACAGACACGTACTCCGCAGAGATCAGAGGCATTTCCAATTTTGGTATCAGTATCGGAACAACTCTAATAGTAGTATATGACAGTTTACAGATTGAAGGAATTCATGAAAGAAGAAATGTATAAATGTCCAGTTTACTAGCCTTGCACATGAATATGAGTGCTGCTAACCCAAGAGAAAGAGTGTTACCATTCAGAGAAGTCAGCGTTTTGTGTTCTCTTGAAATACCCGCTGGCTATTATCACATTTTAAAGTCTAAGTTCACTTGTCCTCACACAGCCATGCCCTCTGACACACAGGTGCATTTGGTTTTTAAACGTGGAGGTGACATAAATGTGACCTTTGCAGTGTAATAGAAGGCCCAAGGGAAGGTGAAGGCAAAGAAAAAAGTGGGAAAGAAAGAAAAAAACAAACAGTAGAAGTGGAGTGGGGACTAGAGACTGGAAAGCAAATTCGTCAAAGTGCTCTGGAGCTGTCACAGCCAGCATAAAAAATGTGTGTGTGTGTGTGTGTGTGTGTAGGTGTGTGTGTGTGTGTGTAGGTGTGTGTGTGTGTGTGTAGGTGTGTGTGTGTGTGTGTGTGTGTGTGTGTGTGTGTGTGTGTGTGTGTGTGTGTGAATGTGAGGGACAAAGAGCAAAGCAGCTCCACACGGTAGGTGCATACATGTTTCTGGTTCACTTTACTATGCTGACATCCCGAGTAAACCTTTGAACCTTGCACATATTGACAAAAGGGGTCACAGACCTCCTGTAGAAATGCAACTCAGATGGAAATATAGGCTTTTAAAAAAATAATAGCATGCTGGTGGTGGAGATATAATTAGGACATACAGTAGTGAGGAAGTAGCTTTCATAATGTAGCGGAAAACTTGAGCACTGAAGTGTGCTCAGGTACAATGTAGGTTCACTCATCCATACGCAAACCCACACACATTATAAGATAGAAAACAGTGTAGAGTAACAGGAAGTATGAGAGAGAGAGAGGGGAGGTTCTTTCTTTACTATAAGACTAAGATCTACCACAAATGTGTGGAAATTTATTTTTTTTTCCAGTGCAAATAAATGTGTTTAAACATTGAGAAAAGTGGAAAAAAAAACAAAAAAACATTTGACATCACAATGTGATGTAAGAAAATGTAACAAGTTGAATTCAGGTTGAGGAAAGGGAAGTTTGATTTGGAAAAAAAATATTTGGGGGTCAGTTAAAAAAAACTTGTTAAGAGGGAAATTTTTACAGTGCATGCTGACTTCCTTGATCTATCCCCCTCAATGACACGCACATGGAGGCATCAGCTAACAGGTATTCATTAGACATGTGAAGCTGCTGCCTGGTATATGTGTGTGTGTGTGTGTGGGTGTTTGAGCTGTTTCCCCACCCGTCTCTCTCCTCCTCTCACTCTCTTGCACGTCTCTTTGGGAACATCAAAGGTATTAGCGCGGTATTTTCAGGTAGGGAGCCTTCGGGGCTTTAGTGGTGTTTCTTTGGGAGTTTTGGAGAATTGTGTTATCTCTCCTTTTTGCGGAGCCCCTTTTGCAGTCAAACGCTTCCGAAATGTCCCCGAACGGAAAAGCAGCAGTGTGTTAAAAAGGCCTTCTGACAGCAACTCTGCTCTCTTCTCTGTCACGCCGCGTGACCGCTTGGTGTACGCCTCTGGCACTGTCCGGTCTACTGCGTCCAATAATGCACCCTACATAGACAGAGTGAGAGAGAGAGAGAGAGAGAGAGAGACACACACATATCACGCACATACACATCCGGGCACACAAGCTACAGGGACGCACATGCACAGCAGCTCTGACAAAACCCAAAGAGACATGAAACTCAGAGGGAACGCATACTCACTTTCCAGTAGCCACACAAGGGCACCTACGTACACACACACACTTTGAATTTCCTAATAAAGCGTGTAAAGGTGTGTTTCTGTTGTTTTGGTAGCTCACACAAAATGAGCTCTCCGAGTGCACATTGATCCATCTGCCCCGTGTTGCCAAAAAAAAAAAAGATGGTCGTCTCTAGATTACCCTGGAAATGGGCAGAGGCTTGTGTGTTTGTTAGAGTGGATCCATGTGGCTGATAAAACATGTTTACCTGTCGGACACTTCAACATTGTGCCAAGCCAGCCAAGCAGTCAACACTGCTGTGCGAAGCCAAGAAAAATCCATTTCATTTAATGGAAAGAAAGAAAGAAAGAGAGAAAGAAAGATTCATTCAGAGGATGAGAAAGATGCAGAGAAAGAGACAATGAGACGGAGGGGGAGGAGCGTAGAATACGAGATCTAGAGATGGAATAGTGATCGGGATAAGCTGTTTCTGGCAGACTTTTCTGCTCGTGAATGTTTGTCTATATAATGTTGTGAAGGTGTGCATAAGAGAGGAGAGGGAGGCAGAATACATAGCATGTTTGTTTGTGTGCACAGAGAATAGCCCGTTCCCCTCAGCTGTGTCACTCACTGCTTAGTAATGCCAAACAGGAAATCAATGTTGCCCGCTGTGTGTGTTTGTGTGCCTGTTTCTGTGTGTGTGTGCGTGTCTCTAGACACTTCTGGCTGCCAGTGTTTCTCTCTTGGAAAATGTGTGTTTGTGCGTGTGTGAGTGTGAGAGAGAAAGAGATGTGTCTGCCCACAGGCCAAAGGCAAACCCATGCCAGGGAAAGCAGGGCAGTGCCATCCTTCTCTCCCTGTGCTGTATTCCCTTTCTTCAAATCAATGTCCCTGCTCAGTTTAGCAGTCAAGCCGATCAGTCTTGCTAGCTCTGCTATTACAAAAAACCACGACTGGGCTGAAAACTCTCTGCAGCAGCTTGGATCAATTCTAATGCAGGATGTTGATTCACTTTACTTTGCTAGAAGACTCACAAATTATCAAGCTGGATTGCACAACAGGACAAAAAAAAAAAAGTTACCAAAGGGGCCAGGTTGTTAGATGTTATTACTCTGAATGGCACAGGAATGCATTTTGGCACCTAGTACACATGATCTGTCTATGGCAGTGCTTTTTTGCCATACAGTGAAGATGCACATCAACTGAGACACAATATTTGACTTGTAACCAGATAATCCACTGATATTTAGAACATACGTTAGAGTTACTGCAAAAATTGTGCATTTGCAGTTTCAAACTTTCGGTTTTACTTTAAAGCTGCAATAATCTATGTATTTATAGTAACTTGTAGTTATAAACCCCGAAAGTAATCATCACCTAACTCTTTATGCTTACGCTTTATGGATGCCTTTTAGCGCATTGTTTTGGTTTTACAGCCCAAAACTTTACTGCTTCACTCACATCAACATTGTTTCCAGGACACACGTTTGTCAGGTTGAACACAAACATGACTCCAAATGAACGCTTAATAAGCTACCATTTGCCATTTCTTTAGTACTTTAGAAGGTGATAATATGTTGGTGTCCACAGCTTATTTCCGTTTCCAAGTGGCCATCATCAGGAGCAGTTAATTCCCAGCCACTTCTCCCTGCTCCTAGTGATGGTTTTAATAGTAAAATCCAAAGCTTTAAACTGCACATCTGCCTTTGTCCCTTTTGGAGTAACTCTACTCTTATACTTGATGTGTGTTTTAGTGTAGTTGTTTGTCCAAGCAGGAACAGACTATTCACACAGTCCACTCATGTACTTGTACAGCAGTTTCAAATCCACCACTCAAGTGTTACAGGTGTCATTTTCATCAGAGCTGAATTCCCACCTACAAGTTTAAAATGTTAGCAGATAAAGCACTGTAGTGTAGCTGTTCCGATTTTCTTTCCATAATATGCAAGGTCACTGCATTTATCGCTACATTATCTTCAATATCTGCTGTTTTCAGTTATTCAGCACTGTCTCCAGTATACTGTGCAATGTTGTTTGAAGCAAAAAGATGGGGGAACACTACACTATATTTTTAGCGACCTTTTATGCAAATAAATAAGAGCAAATAATGCTTTTTAAAAATTCTAATCTGAAGCACTTTAAATGACATTAGTTGTTGATGCTGAATGAACATTGAACTTGATTTAGAAGCTACTTCCATTTGGTTTGACAGTATCCGTTTTGATTTCTCTTATTCTTTCTTTCCCGGTGTGTCTCTGTCACATATATTTCCAGGAAGCCGCATGAGACAGCAATAAAAGGTTGAACTAAAAATCCGACAAGAGTGTTTTATCTAATCTTCTGTTGGAGCTTTGTAACCTTTTGTAACCTGCCTTGTTTTCTTTAATAAGTTGCTTCCACCCAGATTGCTTGCATGTTAAAACAATAACCTCCAGGCGTGTTTACCTTTAATGTTAAACTGTAGGTCAAAGGCAAAATGTTCATCAACATCGGAGCAAAAGGTGGTGCTGTGCTATCAATGAGTGGTCCTATGATGGGAGGTGCTACTATTACGACAGTCAGTGCTGTTCACTGATCTGGGCTGTTGACCCTCGCCGACCCTTGCAACACAAAGCTGCTGACCTCAGTTCAAGGTGAAAGAGAAACCTCATTCTCAGTTTTGTTATTCTTGTTTTCACTGTCTACTGGTTGTATTTCTGTCAAAATAAAGTATGATTGTGAAACAAATATGTTTTTTCTGATGTTTTGTTTTTATTTTTAGAATGATTATCATCCTTTTTTCTTGTAGGCGGACACAAAACCCTAGCGTATGTGTCACCGTAATTTTTGCTGAAATTTAAGCAATGTTCAAGCCACCAAGAGGCTTCAGCTATTCCAGGTGTACTGATACAAGGAATGTAGGTGTCTGCAATTAATTTTGACAAAATGTGAGATATTAAGTGGAAAAGTGGAAGGGGCAGAAAGACTTTATTGTGTAATCCTTGACAGGAAATGTCTCAAAGCAGAGCCATTTCCCTTCTTGTTGAATAAATTCAACTAAATAGCATTACTCATCTCTATTCATTACAAACCTTACAGCCTCTGTACACCTTGCATATAGTCCACTTACTAATGAGGTTACGCGCTTCAGAGACGATGGGTGGATAACAGCCTGCCAAACGCAAGGAGTAGCATGACACTGTCATTAACTTGGAAATGTGGGAGATGGAGTGCAAAAGGTTTTCTCTTGAAAGGAAGCTTTGCTCTTTTCTCATAAACTGTCAAAGATTGTAGCTGTTGTAATGCTAGAGTGCTGCAGGTTGCTATTTAGAGAACAGTTGCTAGAGATATTTTATGCATACTATTGAGGAAAGTGCACATTTTTGTATGACATAAAAAAATATAACACTGCACAATTTGTGCTCTTCAATTATGTAGATTTTTTATGATGAACTCTTCTAACAGCAGGGTGTTAAACCCTTAACATTCAGTTTTTCATTTTTATTTCCCCACCTAGCTTTAAAATCATATTTTTCCACACTTGGCTTGTTCATCATAAAACTTTGGTGAAGTGCTCATTGAAGCTTTATGGGGTTTACACCGAGTCAAATATTTAAACCTGAGTCTACTTGATTTTTATGTCTGCACCAATCAATAAATAGAAATATTGCAGATGATTGTTTGCACAAATTTCCTCCAAACCCAGCCTGACATATTTGTCTTCATAAAATGAAGCCTCCTCTTGAATCTTAAGACATTCTGGGACCCCCGGTGACTGAGGGGTTTAATGTGCAGACCATGTAATTGCAACATTCCCCAGTTACATTTCAGCAAGGGACTCTCTCCCCTCATTTCTTGTGTGATCTCTAATAAATGCTTAAAAAGTCCCCAAGACTACCTAAATCGTGGGTTTGAATAAAGACTGACTGAGGTGAAATTAGCTGAATCGATTGTATTAGTGTTAATATTGGATTTTGTTTCAATCTGTCAGTGGTGGTGAATTCGTAGGAATTCTGTCAAATGTTTGTTGACATGTTTGTGTAGAAGACATCCTCTGTCCGAAGTTCCTGCATCTCTGGTTCAGAATTACAACGTGAATGGGTTTCCCCAGTTGGCTGCTCCTAATTATGAACAAACCAAACACTGGCTCTAGACAGGGCCTGTCACATTTTTTTGCGAGTTTCACAGCCACCATAGTTTCTCCTAGGATGGGAGGTGGGGGGGGACTGCCAGATGCCACTAATTCCTACACACTGGAGGTTTTTCACAGGTGAAATAGGCTAACCTCAACACTTGTAAACAGACTTTGAGAAAATTGATTAAAATTCCCCTTGAAGAGGTTGACTTATTACTATTAATTAACTAGGATTCCTTATGTGGCAGGTTAAATGGATCAAAAATCCTTTTGAGAATATTTATTAGCCACTCAACTCAACATAACACACAGACTGGACAAGTAATAAAAAGAGAGAAGCAATAAATTAAATTATTAAAAGAACACAATTTCTTGACAGATATTCTAAAGACATATATAATAATAATTTATAAAAATAATGAATAATAAATAATAACTCACGTGAGAAACAGCTGGTCAATTAATGGAGCAACCAATCAGGGTGGAGGGAAGGTGTTCATGACCATGACCGCTGACTTCCGGTTGCACCTAAAAATGGCGGTCGATTTAAGCTACAGTTCACATACATGCGTTTAAACAAGCGGCTACTCTGTGTTTTCAGGAGAGTTTGTGGAGAAATGATTTGAGCTGTTGCCTCAAACCGAACTGGAAGCCTGACGCAGAGTTTAAAGTCTTTAAAGTCAGCAGCATTGGACCAGGCTTCAACTTGTTCCAGTTAAGTTTGAGTCTGCTGGTCGTGCTGAGTTGGCTCTGGTATTGCTCTGCTTGTTGCTATTTTTTGCTTCTGGATCCATGTTGTTTGTGCTGAATTAACTTCTCGTGCAGGCAGAGGTTTTTCTTTAGGGTTGTCATTTGGCATGTGCATTTTTATGCATTCATGTTGTTAATTTACTTGACTTATGAGTATGCATTATTTGAGTATTATAAGCATTATTGGCTGCATTTGGTTTTGAGGCATATTTACTCCTTAATTGGGTTGTTGTTGTTGCTGTTTGAGGGGATTTTCCATTGGCTCACTGCAAACTTGGTGGAAGATAATTATGTAAATTGGCTTTAGAGATGTTTACATTATTGTTGTCTTGCACACAGCTCAATGACATTGTTATTTCCCTGTAATATTGTCCTCAACATACTCATACTGGCATACTCAACGTGGCTTTGCGTTTATGAGATAGGTGGTCACATAGCTAGTCAGCTAAACATGAAGAAAAAAATATTCCTAGACAAATGAAAAGCTTTAATGTCACAGCTTGCTTTGCTTTTCTCCTTATCATTATGTTGAGCAGCTGCTTAATGTTTGCTGCTACTGCACCTATTACCAACCTATAGCCGAAAAATGTCATGGCATTGTCTGCTCAAAGCCTCAGTTATTTATTTGTGGTCAGTTTTAATATGGTTCAGTTAATAATTATCCGCTGCGCAGCTCACACTTAGAAAGAGATGGTATATTCTCATTTCTTCAGGGGTTGGCTGGATTTATCCGCACAGAGTAGATTACAGATTATACAGTGGCGGGTGTTGGGCTCTGTTGTGCTGAACTTGGTGTGTTTGGCAGTGTTCGCTGTATTAAATCCTTTCAGTGTGAGTTATCTGACTGTATTGTCTGTCACATCACACCTAAACCTTCTAGGGAAGGGACTAAATAAGCAGTTTCTAAATGAGATAAAAATAATCTTTTTTCTCATCATATCCCGGTTTCTTTGTGCCATCGGCTTGCATTCCATGGGCTATATTATCTATTATAATCTTCAACTAGTGTACACTTCCCTAAATTGAAAACAAAACTTCTTTTAATTGAAAAACATATTCCTACTTAAACCAAACACCCAAGTTTTACTAGTTTCCCAGACATGTATTAAATTTAGCAGAAGATGCAAGTTTCTTTCAGTGGAGATTTACTTCAGGGGAAATAATCCCATATCTCAGCCTGACAGGTAGACCTGTCCTGCAGGTAATCTCTTCAACCTTTCATGATGCAGTTTTGTATGTCACTGTGCTCAAACCAGACCGCAGTCTTTTCCAAATGTTGTAATTTAAATGCATTTAATTGGAAGTGTGTGTGTGTACTGGTAACTGATGTGCTTAATAGCAATTTGTAAGTGAGTGAGACCTGCAGCAAAAACACTTTGTATTTGTATCCTTTTTAAGGTTTACACGTCTAGGAAATTGCGGCGGTGGCGAGCCACTCAGAACCTGATGCACTTCATCTCATGATCAATTTATCTAGATGAAAGCCTAAACAAATGGACACACTCATTACGTGTATGGCATTGGCAGTGTGAAATAGCACCTCTGCTCTCTTGCACGCAGGTCAGTGTTTAAATTATTTTTTTATTATATTAGCGGTGAGCTTTGTTTGCGACGTTGGCTCACCTTTGCTGTAATAGAAAACTCATGAAAACCTGACTGTCATGTTGAGAGGCTGATAAACAGGAATGTTGCCGCACTATATTTAGAGGTGAGTGCTTTGAAAAGTTTTGCCCATCATTGCCGTGACTGTACTCAGTGTGTCTAGTGGTGCATAAAAGGTAAACAGGACACTGTTAATGGTATTTGTACAGTATGTGATTTTAATCCCGGGTGTGTTGTAGCAGGGTTTATGTATGGGGACTAGGCTTGGCTAAATAAGTAGTGTCATAGTGTACTCAATTGTGTTGCAGAACGTATTTGCTAAGGCCAAAGCTGACAGCTGGCATTTTGCACCTCAGTCATTAGTGCAATAATACGGCACATTGTCTTTATACACCGATCAGCCAATAACACTATGACCACCTGGGCACTCTGCCGGTCATAATGTTATGCAGCCCCATACCAAGAAACCGTGATGCACTGTGAGTTCTGACACCTTTCTATCAGAACCAGCATTAACTTTTATAGCAGTTTGAGCTACAGTAGCTCGTCCACACAACCTTCACTCCCAACGTGCATTAATGAGCCTTGGCCACACATGACCCTGTCGCTAGTTCACCACCTTTCCTACCTCGGAGCACTTTTGATAGGTACTGACCACTGCAGACCGGGAAGACCCCACAAGAGCTGCAGTTCTGGAGATGCTCTGACCCAGTTGTCTAGCTAAATCACGCTGCCCATTTTTCCTGCTATTAACACATCAACTTTGAGGACCAAATGTTCACTTGCTGCCTAATATATCCCACCTACTGACAGGAGCCATGATAACCGGATAATCGGTGTTATTCACTTCACCAGTCAGTGGTCATAATGTTTTGGCTGATCAGTGTAAGTTCCATTGTCCCTCGTTAACTCTCCTTGTTGGTTGCATAGCATTACTGTATTGTAAGTATGTTTAAGATTTTAAAGCCTCTTTAAACACACTTAATGGAACTCATATAAAAACACCCAAAACATAGAGTCTTGCTCCACTAAGTTGTCTCTGTTGACTGATTGTCCCAGAGAGATGGATAAAAATCACCAGATGTTTGTGCCGGCTGATCTTTTGATTAAGATTTTTTTGTATTTTAGTTCATTCTCTTCAGCCACCTTTCTGTCACTGTTACTTAAAATCTTGAACCTGCTGTGACAACCTGCAGCAGAGTTTAAACATTTAAGCAGCGACAAAGGCACAGAGGACCATTGTGTATTTGACTTGTATTTT